GGAATGAAAGGGCCGGAAATCACCCTCCGCGCCCAAGAGGACCTCAACACCGCAAGTAGTGCAGATGCAGCATGGAACCCGTGCCATACCCTATCCTTCATGCCAGTAAACCAGCAATCCAGGATAGCAACCTCACGTCTGCCGAGCTACCTCGGTGGACAAAATTATTAATCAAGGGGGAAGCTCTAAACCCGGAGGATTATATAGAGCCTGGGGGGGGGGATGTGGAAGGCATTCAGGCTTAATTTGGGGAACTGGAGCACAGATCCAATTCCCTAAATCAAGAGCCCCTCACCAACATCAAGGAACCTTCCTTGAAGGGTCAGTGGACAAAAGAGAGGGCGGCCGGATATCCGCCACAAAGCATACCTCCTTTGGCCACAAACCCGGAATCCAAAAGGTGGCCGATACACCCGTCACCCGAAAGACACCCAAAGCCATCCCCTGGAAGACCGGAGAGGGAACGGGATATCCCCTTGCGATCCAGATTCCATGGCAAACTACACCACCGCCAAGAACCTCAACAGGATGGGATTGACCCCGGTACCCTTCCCCCTACCTAGGAACCAGTAGGCCTGTGGGAAGAATCCCAAAGGCCAAAAAAAGGAAGGGAGGGATGGGGGGGAGGAGGCGATAGGGATTGGGGGAGTAATTAGGTTCGGTCTGAGGAAGGAGACCAACAGGTCTAATTCCTCAGACCAAGAGCCTCTTCACCACGCCAAGGAGCTCCCCTTGAAGAGGCGCTAAACCTGAAAGGGTCATACAGCGCTGCAGGAAGGGATGCATGAAAATAGGATAGTGGTGCATGAAAGGCAGGGGTGTGCAAGGTTAGAAGTTAGTGGAGGTAGGGGAGAGTGCAAGAGTAAAATTTGAATCAATGTTGGTGCAGTTCCACCAGCCATTAGTGACAATAAATACATAACTTTGGTGACCTCATGGAAGTGTCATCACTGGTAATTTGCAATTGGTTAAAGTATAAATTTGAAGCATTTCACCGAGACATCTCTAAACACTAAGATGTTGCTCACTTATTTCTGTTTTGCAATTTTTTAATTTTTCCAATTTTTCATTTTTTAAACTCAATCTATAATTGCAATTTCTTTGATAGCTTCCACACAAAATCAAGTATTTTTAAGATATATTTTTCAGATACAGTGGTAAAATAAAAATATAGGAGCCATTTTCATGAAACTTTGCAGTTTAGTAGTGTTGCAAAATGTATTTAATTCATTTTGATGAAGATAGAGGTAACAGTTCTATAATATAGAATTTACAAAGTACTCTGGTTGGGATTTGTACAATGAATATTTTTCTATTTACAGGAAGTTTCATACACTTATGCTTTTATCCTAAACATAAATTCTAATCTTTAATAATCAGGTCTTTCAATAATTATTCAGTTTTATCTTATTTTATAGTAAACTAAACAAAGGATCTGCACAGAAATGACCTTTTGTACACTATAAACTTCAATGGGCACTAAAATTCACAAGTTCTTTTCCAAGTCACACCTCAAAACCATTTTGTTCTTAATACAATGACAATCCCATATCAGGTGAATCTTCGCTAAGGCTTTCCAAAAAAATAAGTGTATGAGTATACGAAATTTGCACAGACTGTGGGTGTCATGTCTTATGCTTATTTGATATGGTATATACATCTTAAAATTAAAGCCACTAAAAAAAATGATTCCTTGTAATTAAAATGCTTTAATATCTAGGACAATGGTCCTTTATTTAAATATTCACAATATAATACAGGGAAGTATATTACTGTAGTAATATGCATCCATTGATTCCAGGAAGTACATTCCAAAATGCTGAAACAAAATTAGGAATGACAGAGGGAGGAGAGTCATGATTCCATAAAAGTAACATGTGAGTACCATGTGCATGGGTTGTGTTATAACTAAATTATAAATTATGTGACCCTGACAGGTCCAACTTTTAGCACTCGTTGGATTTCAGAGACTGATGGCTATGATCATGAGCTAGTATTATATTAATATGTGAATCCCAACTTTCAATGACTATACAATATATATTATTCATGATCAATAATAATGTGGCTGCACAATACATGAATAGAACTAACTTGAGAAACTGTAGGGGATCATTAGAACAGCATTTCAACTAGTGTTTTCATTACCACTTAATATTACAATCTCAAAATTACATCACATTTTTTTTTTATAATGGTTCTCTATCAAATAAGACAGAAAAGTAGAGGGGCACCACTAGTGAAAAGCATATTCCTAATGTCATCCAGCCATGTACCACTGCCTGGTTGGTATGAGGGAGTAACACTGCACCACTACAAGGAATATATGGTCATTCCACTACCTGCTCAACTAATTTCCCACAAGAAACTCTAATATAACTTAAAAGAAGAGAACAATTTAGATAGCTATACATACAACACATTCTATAGTCAAGAATAGAAACAAAGTGCACAGATGATTTTTTATCTAAAAGGGAATATTTGTTGATTAGATGTAAAGTGACCTTCCTCTTATTACAAGTAGTACTTAAGGGGTCTAAAGCAAAACAAACATGCACAATGAACACTACCAGTAGATACTGTACAAATATGAAATTAGTTATTTAAATCACATAATCAAATTTAGTAATTTTTGCATTCCTCCCTCATTAGTTCCCCATTAATGAATGAGTATTTCAGCCATTTACAATCATTCTTCAAGTGGCTAAATATTTGCTTGGATGGTGTAACCAGCAGCCAAAATCAAAAGAATCATAAAAATGCAACAGTAGGAATATAAAATATAAACCAAATAAAAAAAATGCACCAGACTTGTTTCAAAACACTCACTATGCTTTGAAAATTACCCAACAAGTTAATTGTTTATTATGTATAAATAAATTTCTTAAAATAAATGAAAGCAACATCAATTCAGTCACAAATGTTACAAACAGTTTCATATTACCACCAAGCACAAATGTTACAGTTTCATGTGAGTGCATAAAGTAATGTCAGAGATAAAAAGATACCATTGCTTTGATTGTGTTACCTGCTGCAGGAATGAATGAACTTTAGTCATTGACAACACTTGTAAAGCAATCAACAAGCTTTAATGCTCAACATTAATATAAAACTTTGTGAGTGCAAATTTAAAAGTGAAATCAAGACACTGGGAAATACATTTTGCTATTTGGAGTCAAATAACAAAATAGGAAAACATAAAACAGATTACAGAATACTCGAATATAATTACAGGTGTCCCTCGTTTCATGCTTTAGTTAGTGTTCCAGTCTTATGGCAGCTACAATAAGCTCAGTCAGGCCATAAGCATTTAATTGAACATAATAAGACTTCAATATGTTTTAAAAACTGCACTATCACATACAATGAATGTATATTGCAAATGCATCATAACTGATAGAAACATGACATTGCATAACGGTGAATTTGCATAAAGTGAGGGAAACCTGTATACACCAGTCAATAAGATCAATATGTACATATAAAGAATTATAATTTGAAATGTATAATTTCTTAAGAAGGCAAGAATGATGAGACAAGCATCTGTTATTTAAGCCAATTTTCATTATTCCTTTCACAAAAAATTATCAATTATGTTACAGCTTCAACTTCAGAGAATAATGCAATGCTTGCAAATAACATTTAAATACAGTTGTTGCAACTAACTTAATTTAATACTCATGGCTGTGGTGCCTCAGATCTGAGCAAATTCCTCCATAAATACAAGAACTTACATCATTCAAACAAAAAACTTTATTTCACTTTAACGATATGTAATTTTGTGCAATATACCTTAGGGAGTCAACATTCATCATATCTACCATAATACATATATACAATGCTCCTAATCTATATAATTTGCATACAGGTTATCTGTAAATGTCAATCACACGGTACAGTATTTTCATTTACCGTATATACTCGAGTATACCCCAACACTGTGCATAGGTCTACCCCTGACTTTCTTGCCAAGAAATCCTTAATTTTTTCATATACTGTACCTTATTTATAAGTATACCCAAGTTTCTGAGGGGCTTTGAAAAGGGTCAAATGATTTCAAATGCAGAAAATATTCCAGTTAAAAAACATAATAAAATTCAACCCAAATACTTGATAAATATATGAACAGAGGAGCACTGCAGTAGGCCTACTTGCTCATACTAGAGAGGTCCTATTCACACTCAACAACTATAAATAAGTGTACAGGCGAGTTGCCAGGGAGTATAGGGAGGAGGCCCCAGGCCCAGATTGGTTGTAGTTGGGAGGAGGGGGTGATAGATAGGTGACATTCTCTTCTCCTCTCCTCTCCTTACTGCATTCATGCACAATCACCAGATATCTCTGTAAATAAACCTTTCAAGGATAATATAAGAAAAAAGAACAAGTGAATGACAGGCAATAAAATCTTTACCATAAGAGGTAGCACAGAGGCTTCTACACTGGCAACATTGTGGGAATGGGTTGTAGAGGCTAGGGATGAAGTCCAAATTGAAATTTTTGTCAAATCATTTGGCTTAGCGCTTCTTTTTGATTATAATAATAATTGTCAAATCATTTAAGTAATGCAGTATCTTCAAATCACTTGATGGGAAGCCGGGTCACCATATGGAGAAGACCCGGGCCGGAAGTACCAGTGAATCTCTAATGAATGAACTTGATGGGACAGAAGCAATATTTTGTGGAATACTGAAGTTAGTGCTAACGATAGTGACGATCAGTATTACAATAAATTAAATTAACAGACTAGGACAAGCTATTTAGTGGTGAAGATAACTAGCAGTGTGAATATGAAGGATTTTAGTAAACTGAATAATAATGTGTATTTACATTATCCTATGTAACTATGACTCACATTTCATATTGTAAGCAGTTTGAAAATAAAATATGGTTTAACCTTGAGGATGGGAACAGTGGCCAATCCAGCCACTGTTCTGCACTATTCAGCTTTTGTGCTTGTAAACAAACCCAGGGGACAGGGTGGTGCAAATAAAACTACAGTACTGGATATTATCAAATTTATTTGTCTTTTTCAGTGAAGTATAATTACCGAGTGTGGGTTTACCTTTGATGCAGCAAAGATGTAGGAATATACTGTGTGGTTAGCCCACAACATATAATGATTCAAACCCATCAAAAGTATTTCCCATGAATAAGTCAACCCCCTACTTTTTGCCAAAAATTTGGTCTTAAAACCTCGACATATACTAGAGTATATACGGTAAAACATTAATGCAATTCAAAAATGGTAACTGGTTACTAGAGCACAAAGTGAACTAACCCTCCAAGAAATAAATTGTTGCCCCTTTCTTCTATTGGTATAGATACAAAGCATAATTTGTTAAAAGTGATTTATGAGTTCTATAAATTATCAGGCTTCAGATCTGACCCTTTTGAGGCATATTTCTTGTCAAGAGACGAAGATGCCATGACATGACCAGAGTTCTGGAATAACCCATGAATCACTCATTCTTATGCCACAATATATAATCATGAGTAAGACCTTGGCAGTATGTCATACTAACTTGACCTTTACACAACACAGAAATTAGTGAATTGACTACCAAACATTTCAAAACTTAAGGCTAAATATTTTTCAAATAAACTGTCATCCATCCTAACACTCACCTATGAATATAATCATTAAAAAATAAACAATCTGAAGAAAACAATTATATCTGAGGTACTTGAAGGATTGCCCTACAACATTACCATCTCTCACTTGAGCCTCCCTCTCAATGACAGGCTTAGTACTGCTTCATGAGCTATGATAATCATAAAATTAAACTCAATCTTAAATTAAGTGTGGGTGGTAAACATCTCTCCTGGCTACCATAGGGATTAGGGCAGAGTTTCTTGGGATGAGGAACACTGTAGATGTTATGTATGTTGAGGAATACACATGCTACTCACCATGTTGAGCAACATTACAATCATATTATCTGACATGCTGATGGAAATGAGCACATAATGTATGAGTTATTATGAAATGAAATGTGATGAAATGATGAGTATAGCACAAAGACATTCATGGTAAATGCCAAGATATATATTTTTTTTAGAAAGAAAACATGCAAACACTCACATATTCTCATATCTGAAAAATGAGACAATGAAATTTTAAGATAAATGTTCTCATTGTAGGATTGCAAGTGATTTTTCTAGTCATAAACTACATGACTATTTTTCTTAGATCTACAATGAGGATTATATTCAGGTCACACACACCTTTTAATAAAATCTTCCTAATGGAACTTGCTCTTATAGTCATATATATATATTTTTTTTCTGATTAGCTGAGTTTTACCTACCACTGTGACTGAAGCTGGAAGGTGGAGTATGAATTAACACAGTCTATAATCTATAAGATAGATTGCTTAGTAATTCTAGTATGGCTAAATAAAGAGAACACTGATTAAGTGGGCAGCTTCAATCACCGTGGAGCAAAGCTCAGTAAGCTGGGAGTGTAACACTAAAGCTTTACTCACTGTACTGTTTGTTATAAAAGAAAGTGGCTGTCACACCAACAGCTGTGTGACTGGAGGGGTCAGGCATCAGGTCACATGGGGCATGCTGGGTTAAGCACCTATTCTGAAGTCTTAATGTAAACAATTTCTGCTCTTAAAAATTATAACTTTATCTACAATACCATAATTTAAAGATCAGTGTTGAGGAGTCATTACAATAACTCTGACAAATACATGTTAGATAAGTCATGCTATGGTAAGAATTACAAGAAAAATAAAAACAATTACTAATTTAACACAGCAATAGAAGTGACTGACATTTATAAACGCATTAAATTCCTGGTTGTAGAAGAAGGCAAGACCCCTTTTGCTGCCCACATAGCACCAGCATGCCCTCTATCATGCCGGAGGAAATCTGATCTACATTGGCAAGAAACAAACAAAGCAACACAGGTGTAGACAACCACCTTAAAACATTGTCTGGACAGATGAAACAGTTACATGAGTGATCTACACATTATCATTTATATCACATAATCTTTTATTTGCTTATCATATATATATTTATATATATGTACAATCAAGAATTGTACCAGTGCCTAAAAACCCATCATCAGTCACTGGATGAAAGCTCTGAAACTCGCCTCTCCAAACTGCATGAAGTATATAATTCAATATTGCAACATGACACATCATTATTTTCACCTGTATGTATTTTCCCGCAAAAATGTCTCTTCCCACGAATCATTATATCTTGGATTAAACAAATGATACCCTCAGTCATGTCCCCACGATCAAACTGGGAGGCCAACAAGGAAGAAGTTCATCACAGACTAACCCACCCACCCCCAAGAATAATTCTCATGCCATCCTTCACTTTACATATTTGTTCCTAAGACTTGTCAATTCTTAAATGGAGGAAAAAAGTAACTTTGAATTAATAAGCAGAAAATACTAACAAACTGTTCTTTTGCACACCAGCTTCAACATTTGTGACTTGCAGGACAGGATATCTAGTTGCAAAATGATTTACTGATACATGGTATCTGGGATTAAAGAGGAGAGCTGGAGGGAGCTTTTTAACATGTGACCTGTCACAAGAACACCCCTGCTTACTACAATAGTCCTTTATACAGCACTTACACACATTCCTCTTTTGGGTTTTTATGAAGATCACCTGGAGCAATGGTCATGTAGCATAATAAGTGTCTGTCAACAGTCAATACAACTGCTAATTGCACATTAACACTACACAATCCCTTCATTTTTAAATTACCAGTTTAAATATTAACTGTGCTATAATACTGTAACACAGTAACCCAATTTTTCAAATTCAAATGCACTCTTGCTGTAAAAGTTAGTGTGTATTGTCAGGGTGTAAGAAAAGAACACTACATTAACAAGTCACCAGAGCCTGACACATGGATCCAAGTTATTCTGGCCTTAATCTAGCCAGATTATTGGGTCCTTCCAGGTGATGGTGCTGACTGGTGTTGGATAGGCAGTGGATGGTAAATATGGCTGTGACTTAGAAATGTGCTCATTGGAGACTTGGGCCAATGATGGTAGTTCCATAGGTCACTAGAGGATAGCACAAGAAGCAGAACAGCAGCTCGAAGACCCGCCCTTGCTCTTCTGCCGTTGGTCTGTAACGAGTGTTTTTATTAATCTTTTATATAAATTACCTGTTCTCAAAGCAAAAATCACTGTTTCCTAAATGACATTTTAAATTTGGAATGCACAACAAGCAGCCTTTTTTTTAATTTACCAAATCTTTTTTGTACAAAGAAAGTTAAAATAAATTACACAAAATAATTTATTCAGGTACAGCTAAGTGAGATTCAGAATTTGAGTATTAATTATTCAGCATTCTTTTTTTTTTTTTTTTTAATTTTGAAGCTAAATCAAGTATGTACTGTACGTATTTTAATGTACATCTCCTATCCATTCTGTGGAGAGAGTGCAAGAGCAAATGGATACACATAAAGCCTATCATAGTAAATAGACTCTAAGACGGTTTACACGAGTACCTGCAGGTACAGAGTACTGCAAATTCTTTACAAACTGCTATTCTTTTATCTGCAACAAGTAAATTTAGGATATTTGGTATGAATTTCTAGTACAGTACAGGCAGCTCCCACTTTACAGTGCTTTGCTTTACAGTATTTTGCTAATACAGCAGTTTTCAATTATACCAATTCTTCATTTATTCAGACTTTCTACAATAAATATATTCACCACTCACTATAAGCTAAGGAAAAAAATATTTTAAGGTAAGTAATGTGTGTACTGTATATGCATGTTTTAGGCCTAACTATATTGCTCACTTAACCCTTTCAGGGTTTCCGACGTACTAGTACGGCTTATGCGCCAGGGTTATTGACGTACTAGTACGCATAAATTCTGCTGCCTTCAAATCAAGCGGGAAAAGGCTGGTAGGCCTAGATGTGAGAGAATGGGTCTGCGTGGTCGGTGTGTGCGGTAGGAAAAAATTTGGAGACCCAGTGGTGCATTGTGGGAACACCATTTTAGTACACCTTGTTCACCATGCCTCATGGTAAGAAACTCCTCACTCCTCGGCGAATTGGGACACTTTTGTTTCCCAGTGACAGTGAAGATGAGTTTCAAGGTTTTGATGAGGTTGTGACCGAAACTAATGACCATAATACACTGGAACCTCTACTTACGAGTTTAATCCGTTCCAAGACCTTGCTCGCAACTGGATTTGCTCGTTTGCAGAGTCAATTTTCTTCATTTAAATTAATTGAAATGCAATTAATCCATTCCAGTGGAATTCTGTACTTCAATAATTTTACTAATATCAACTCTACGGCTTATTTATCTATCTCACTACATCTAATATGACATAATAAACAATATAAATAACACAGAAACGTGATATATACTCTAAAATTAATAAAATTTACAGTAGACCATCATTTAGCACGAGTTTGACTGACTTACTGAATTTAGCACAAGTTTGACTGACTTACTAAATCACTTGACTGACTTACTGAATGACTTGACTGAATGCCTTAAAGTTAGACACTCCAGTACAACCATCGCCTTCAGTACCAGAGCCTCTACCATCCACCTCAGCCCAGTAGGGCCACAGCATAACTATCCACTCTCTTCACAATCATCCATAAACACCAGCACCCACAATTTAAGGTAAGAAATACTATTATTTCTGTTACATTTGTTTACTCTGAAACATAGCCAAGCAATGGACCATTTCTCCTACTCTGAGCTGAATTTCAAGGTACTTTTCGTCAGGAAAGCAATCAAAATCATATCTATTTCTGTAATATATCTTCCATTCTATCAAATGAGATCAAAAAACGAGAATACAACCATAAAAACCATACAAAAATACCGCTAAGGGGTGACTAATTGCTGAGAAGTGAACTCCATTATTTATGCTTAGATTTCTTTCATTTTTGGTGTACATTAAGAAGCATCTTTCCATCATACATTGCCCAAGTTTCAATAAGATAGTCCAATAAACAAATGAGATACAATTCCCGAGAGCAAGAGCCCCTCACCACTGTCAAGGAACCTGCCTTGAGGTCTGCTCGCTTATGGAAATTTTGCTCGCGTATAGAAGCAAAAAATTGACCCATCGACTGCTCGCATGTGGACACACTCGCAAGTAGAGGTTCCATTGTGCCAGTAATAGTGAGGAAAATCCAAATGACCCTCATCCTTCCACTTCTGGTGCTGGGCCATCTTGTTCACGTTCATTTGTATCAGAACGAAAGAGGAAACTCGTACTTTCCCATATCCAGGACTCAGATGTGAGCAATGGTGATGACAGTGATAGTGAATATGAACTACAAGCTCTTGAAAACAGTTCCAGTAGCAATGGTGAAGTAGAATATTCTCCAGTGAAGCATCAGTATATACAATGGTATATGTGTTCTGGTAGTGTGTCATATGCTATTCCAAGGGGAAGGAGTACATCCCATGGCTGTACAGCAAGGACAGAGAGTGAAAATGAAGATGATAGTGTTGCAATTGGGATGGAAAATGTGCATGCATCTGGTGTTGGTAGTGGTGGTGTCAGCATGAGGCACCAGCAGTGGGCCATGCTGCCACCCACACTGCTGCCTCAGCTGATCTACAACAAAGACCACCATTCCCCACCCACCCACCACACCAACCTCCACAACCACAACCACCTGTCAATATCCAGTACCCACCAGCAGACTGCACCTGGGATTGGCAGGAAGCTGACAATTTTGTTCCCAATCCCCATCACTTCGATGAAAGTCAAAGTGGAATACGGCTATCGTGTACACTTGGGAACAATGCCACTGAACTAAAATGTTTCAAATTATTCTTTGATGAATTCCTGATGGAAATTATTGTCAGGGAAAGCAACAGATACTTCGAGTACACCATGGCAAACACAATACTTTCACCAAAATCACGCCTACACCATTAGAAGGAGACAACTGTGGCTGAGATGTATCTTTTCTTTGCCACAATAATGCTTATGCCACATGCGTATAAGCACAGTGTCAAATCATACTGGTCAACAGACCGCCTGATTGCAACCCCAGGTTTCAGTGATGTAATGCAAGTGAATCGATTTGTGCTACTATGTATTATGTATGCTTCACTTCTCGGACAAAACCAGGTCTGACAGAAATGACAGGTTATATAAGATTAGGAATGTGTTTGTGTATCTGAAACAGAAATTCAGTATATATTTTTATCCCTTCAGGAAGCTTGTTATTGATGAGTCTTTGATTCTGTTCAAAGGAAGACTGTCAGTCAAGCAGTACATACCAAGCAAGAGGAAACGCTTTGGTATAAAGTTGTTTGTGCTTTGTGACTACTACAGTGGTGTACACTGGAAGTAATACATTGCAAAATACCAGGAAGTTATTGGGCATCTCTGGTAATGTGGTTAGAACAATGATGGAACCATATCTTGGTAAAGGGCATATATTATATACTGATAACTGGTACACAAGCCCCTCACTCAGTGATTTTTTTGCGAGTGAACATGACAGATGTGTGTGGCACAGTGCGTGGAAATCGTAAGCATATGCCCAGGTTTGACGCTGACACTCGCAGGGGTGAGGTGCAGGCGTTTGCTGCCAATGACATCATGGCATTTCGGTGGCATGGCAAATGAGATGTCATTCTGTTGTCATCAGTTCACCCTAACAAAATGAAAAACATTGGCAGGCAGAATAGAGAGACCAATGAACCCATTCTAAAACCTGCAGCTGTGATAGACTACACCCTCAATATGTACTCAGTGGACAAATGTGACATGCAGATTGGGTTTACTGATTGTACTTGCAAGAGTTATAAGTGGTACATAAAACTCTTTTTCCATATTCTGGACATTTCCATGCTCAATGCTTATAATATGTATAAGATGAGGACCAGAAACAAACCACCATATGGCAAATTTTGTTTGTCTGTCATCAGACAAATAGTATTCAAGTACCAAGGAACAACACCTGCATTAGAAAACCGCCCACTAAATTATCAACAACTACCTTCTCCTCTGAGGCATAGTGATCACTTCCTAATACAATTGCCTGCTACTGCTTTCAAGAAAAAGGCTCAGAAGAGGTGTTATGTCTGTGCACATACAAAAAAAACACCCACAACAATGCAGACACACTCATTTTATGTGAGGAGTGTAAAACACCACTGTGAATGACACCATGTTTCAAAGACTTCCACAGGCTGCAGAACTTCTAGAAACATGTACTGTAACTGTATATGTGTATATAAAATATAGAAAAATAGTAATAAACAACATTTTATATTGTTCGTTTGTGTAAACAAGTTTTGTAAACAATATAATGACAACAGTATTTGTGCAGTTACTGTGTATTACAGGTCCGCCATCAGAAATCCGGCAATCAGTTATTCGGTTCCTTCAGTTATTCGGCACTAATTTTGGCTAACATAATTTCAAATTTCCAGGGTCACCACACCAACCTGCTCGTACTGTTTAGTGGCGCTACTTGCTGCATAAGTCATTCTAATTTCTTTTTCTCCATTTGTTATAACCTGCTTACTTTTAGCCCTAGCCATGGTTTCAATGAATAAAAGAAATTCTTCTCATTATGTAAAGCACCTACACAGTACATTGTCCATTAAAGATAAGGTGGCTTTGAAGCCACTGTTGGTTGCCATGAGCTCAGTCTAGTGATGCAGGAGAATATGCTTCATTATTACGCTAATATCAACACTACAGCTTATTGCCTATCGCAACTGATCTAATATGACATAATAAACAATATAAATAACATAAAACATGTTAAATACTCCAGAATGAATAATATTTGGCATAATACCGAGCAGTTCGACAGAGGATATGGTATACAAATACCATTCTCCTATCCCTGTCTTGGGGGCTTATATTAGAGAAAACGGAGTGTAGCACAGGGCTAACTGATAGACACTCGTACTGTACCATAAACCTGAAACAAAAAAGTTATTTTCTCTATACAGATTATCACACACAGCAGCATATGTGTAGAGAACCTAGGATAACCCAAAAAAGTCAGACACTGTGGCTTATTTCTAGTACCTGGCTTGGGTTAGCCATATATAATTTTTGGTAAATATTCGATTCCCAGCCAGGGTAGAAACATTGGGCATGTTTCTTTAC